CTTCTGAGTGCTGGGATTAAAGGCGTGTGCCACCACGCCCATCGAAAAATCTCTTTTTAATGAACTCTAACTCCACACTGATGCTGCTGATGTTTTTGTCTTTGGCGAAGTCAAGGATCTGGTTTCACTTGAGTGGAGGTCCCTAAAAGATGCTGGAACTCCATCAGATGCAGGCAGCAGTGCTGGGCTGTGCCTCTTGCTGTACTCCACCTAAGCTACTGAAGAAAACTCCCCGTGGTTAGGCAGTTTGGAGTCGCTGGACAAAATGAAAACTGAGCCACTGAAACTGACATGCATAACGTGGGTCCTGCCTGAGGCGCCCCCTTGGCAGAAGGCCCCATCAGATTACTGCAAATACACACCCCCATTTACTCAGCCAAGAAGAATTTATTTATTGAAATCTATGTGGTAACTATTTGGCTTAACATGGCCAGGCCTGGGTTGAACCCAGCTCAGACTGGGTTGAAATGGTAGGTGAGGCTGTGGGAAGGACTACCTTTTCTCCTCTTACTCCTCCACCCCACACACCGATGTGGATGGGGCAGGTGTGCCGCCAGCCCCGAAGATGACCGCAGATCAGAGAGGGGGTCATACACCTGGCAGTCAGGTGGGCCAAGAGGGAGTGCTCCAGAGAGCACACACTCTGAGTGGCATTCTCTGAAATTCAGTGTATTGGGTACTTAGAAGGATCTCATCCCCTCAGTGGTAGGGTCACTTCCATGAGAATGAGCCTTGTTGGGGTGGCAAAGACAAACCTAGAGTAGGCAGGTGGGAGATCATCACACCCCCAAAATAAATCTCGAGCCCTCAGCTTCCCCAGAATGCAGGGGACCACAGCCTTCTGAATGCCCTTCAGGGGGACAGGTAGACAGTAGATGGAGTTGTAGGGGCAGTGACAAGTGGGGATGGAGAAAGGCCAGGGCTCATTCAAAGGGCTATACCAACAAGTCTCCTGTTTTTGGCTCAGGCTTTTGTTAGACAAGGTGGTTGATGACTGAGAAGAGCTGTCTACACAGCAAGGATAAAGGTGACATGGCTGGCAGGGGCTCTCAGGCTTAGAGGAACTCTAAGGGTTTGTGGCTTCTAGGACCAGTGGTGATAGCTGAATGAGACCTTTGAAACCACATGGTCCAGCCTGGTCCCCATCCTCTCCCTCAGCAGGCATGATGTACAGAGAAGGCAACTGAGCCCAGAGGATGGTGGGGAGCTGTCCAAGGTCACACGATGAACTGGAGCTGAGGGCAGAATCCAGTCACCTACTCATGTGAAGTGGAGGGGGCCTGGTTCAGGTGAGCAGTGCCAGAGGAGGAGGCTTTGAGGCTCTGACTCGGGAAGTAGAGGATGGTGAACCAGCAGAAGATGAAGACTCCTGTGGTGAGGAAATGGTATTGGTGAGCCTGGGGCAGGCTGGGATTCGGAAGGGGCTCCACTGTAAACATTCAAGAATTTAAGAGGGGAGGGGGACGCAAAAAGGAAACACACTCTTGAAAGAGAACCAAATAGAAATCTTGGAAATCAAAAACCAGTGGTCTTGAAATAAAATACACATACATCTATCACCGAAAAGGAAGCACAAATAAAGGTATTTTCAGACATATAAAAACCAATGCCACTACCACTCTGGGCTCCCTTACCATTCTTCTTTAAAGGATGACTACAGGATGCACTCCAGCAAGATGACTTGGAATAAGTACAGAAACTAAGAAGTACAAACTGTGTGTTTAGAGGGAATTTATAATGAAAACAGTATACAGCGACAATACTGAGGAGTTCGGTGAGCAGTTTGAAGATACCAAGGGCTCTGTTGCATAGAGGAGGAAGATAAAAATACTGAATAACTTAGACTCAGTTGGAACTTAAATCACCAGAGTGAGACATGCAGGCTTAAATATTAATGCAACTTATGCAAGAATCATGTCATTTAAAACTTCACGATGCCTCCCTCCCCAATCCTTAACCCCTGGGATTTTCCAAATGTGAACTCATGATTATTATTTAGCTGGAGATACCCTCAGATGGCCCCAAAGTAATCATCTATTTTGTTTGTTTTTTAATTAGCATAGAAAGTAATAGTAGGTTTCACTGTGGCATTTTCACAGTTTTTTCACTTGATCCTCTCCTCTCCTGTCTCCTCTGTCTCCACAGCCTACACCCTTTCCACTTTCATGTCACTTGCATTCTATTACCCTCTTCCTGCTGCCTTAAAACCTCTTCCCTGTCTGATTCTTTGTCTAGTTTAGGGACCTGCACCCACATCCACACCCCATACATTTGCACATAAAGACTCAAGTGTTCATACAAAGGATCTTTGTATGAGAGAGAGCGTGTGTATTTGATTTCTGCCACTTTCCATACAGTGTCCGAAACAGATTTAGAGGCTGCTCTGCTCAAAGCACCAGTTTCTACCTGGATCTGCAGAGGCTGATGTGTAACTCAAAGCAGAGTTTTCAAAGCTTGGCATCTCTCTTATTGCTACCTTAAACTTTGGGTCAGAGTAGTCTCAACTCTGCAAGTAGACAGGTTAAACATTTAAGGAGTGTTTGCTTAAATGGCAATCCTCCACCTTCAAGGCTGACATCATCAACAGACAGCCTTTATAGCATCCTGTTCCAGAGCACGGGAACAGTGCCCAGAAGACTCCAGTCATTGCCCTCATCTGAAGACCTAACTCATTCCATCTTCTTTTCTGACTTGTCCTTTTCTCTGAGTAATTCTCTCCTGTAGTCACCTTGGATTTCAGGAACAATAGGTCTGACAAAGGAACATTCTATGACAAGAGTTGAAGCCACCCCAAGGTGGGAGTGACTTTCTTATTGTGGGCAAGTCCCTGCATCACTGTTCTGAGATGATCAGCAGGTGCTGGCTTTGCATGCTGCTTTTGATCCTTGCTTGTATAACCCTGAGGTTGCCACTTCCTTGAAGTCAAGACGGAGGATGCTGGTCCCATTGTTCCTTCCCAGGAAGGATATTCTGAGTAGCTAACTTACTCTCCTTTTTCATTGCTGATTTTAGCAGTTGGTTGATTGGGGCATGTGGCCATGCCTGGTCCATTCGGGAACCCCAGAGTCAGGCTTCTAGCCTAGGACTCTAGTAATATGCTCAATGTACTGAAGATCTACTGAGTCCCACACATGCACAATTATAGCTATTCATCACTAAATGTATGGGAAAAGGACTGGGGCTGTCCTGATTTAGAGATGAATGAGGACCGGAAGTGTCAAGTGACTTGCTGGATGCTAGCTCATGATAGTTAATGTTGTCAACTTGACAGGATCTGGAATCACCTGGAAGACCGCCAAGAATGTCTGTGCAGGAAGTTCTAGATCAGGTTAACTGAGGTGGAAAGACCCACCCTAAACATAAGGAACACTATTCCAGGGGCTGAGGTCCTGGACTAAATATAAAAGAGGAAGAGAGCTGGTGAGATGGCTTAGTGGGTAAAGCCTGATGACCTGAGTTCAATCACTAGGACCCACATGGTGGAAGGAGAGAACTGACTTCTGCAGGCTGTTGCCTGGTGAGGACATATGTATCATGGCACACACACACACACACACACACACACACACACACACACACACACAGACAAATAAATAACCAAATAAATGTAACTAAAAAAAATTTTTTTAAGAGACCAGCCTGGAGAAATGGCTCAGCAGTTAAAAACCCTGGCTGTTCTTGCAGAAGACAAAGGTTCAAATCCCAGCACCCACATAGCAGTTAACAACTGTCTGTAACTCCAGTTCCAGGGGATCCAGCAGCCTCTTCTATCCTCCTTGGGTATTGCATAACACAGGTGCACTTACCTATATGCAGGCAATACATGCATACATAAAATAAAAATAATAAATTCTGTATGAAACAGTATATTTTAAAATGAAATGGGGATCTTTTTTAAAGGATAACTGTATTAATTCAACTGTGAACCTAAAAATTTACAGCCAACACTGAAAGAGATGCATCTTTGCTCTGGAAATTGTTATTGAATGTGTTAAAGCTGTAATGAAATGCCTCTTCTAATCATGTGGTTATTAAATAATTAAAAAATAATAATAAATTTTAAAATTTTGGAGAGCTGAGCACCAGCACCCAGCTCTCTCCACATCCTGACTGCAGCTATGATGTGACCAGCTGCATCATGCCTTCCCCACGCACTCTCAAATCATGAGCCAAAATAAACCCTTCATTAAGTTGCTTTTGTCAAGTGTTTTGTCGTAGCAATAAGAAAATTAACTAGTACAGTGGGTGAACCTGGGACTTGAACCCAGTCTACCTGCTCCAAACCTTCCTGTCATATAGACTCATGGGGCATAGGAGTCAGCCATTCTCTTGTGAGTCTGAGTATCGCAACAGAGACACCTGGGTTCCCAGCGCCCTGATCCCTGGATGGGACAAGTCTTGTCACTCCCTTCTTACTTATTTTTCTCACAGTCAGGCACGATGACCCTTTGACCTGTGTGTGTAAATGAAGGAGTGGGAAGCAAAAGGCACAAGTACCAGGAGGAAAATGACCCATGGCCTGGACTCTGACTTCTGGGGTCTCAGAGAATGGACCAGCTGGAACAGGTAGCGGACACAGCAATCAATCATTTCCTTCCTACCTTAACAGATCCTTAAGGACTGTCATGGGGACATCAAATCTTATAACTCTGCTTTCCTGGTTGGACCTGACTGCTGCTGATTGGACCAGAAATAGTCATCTGACTTAGGGCACAAAAGTTTAAGGCAGCCATGTTAGGTGGCCATTTTGGAAAGCAGAAATTGAAGACAGAGCTGCCAGAGAGGCCGGATAAGATGCAACACTCAGCTCCAAAACAAAAGACGGGGAAAGTAACTGCTTTGATTTGTGTGGCTTTTCCTGATCCCAGTATCATCCCCTAGGAATCCAGCCACCTTGCTGCCCTTGATCCTACAATAGTCCTAAATATCTAAAATTAGTACCTTTGATTTAAAAAATATTTTGTTATTTTTATTTTCTGTGCATGAGTGTATTGCCTGAATGTAAGTGCACCATGTGTATGCAGTGCCCATGGAGGTCAGAAGAGGGTGTCAGATCCCCTCGAACTGGAGTTATAGATGGTTGTCAGCCCCCATGTGGGTGCCGGGAACTGAACCAGGGTCTTCTGCAAGAGCAGTCAGTGCTCTTAACCACTGAACCCCAGGGTACCTTTGATTTGAGCTAGCCATTATGGAATCCCATTTCCTACAAACTTCTCTCTCCCTAACTTCCCAGCATCCCCTGGTGCACATGACACAACCTTTGGCGACCCTGGAGCCTCACCTTGTAGCGAGTTGAAGAAGGCAAAGATGTAGATGGTAGACAGGCCCAGGGGTGTGAGGACAGCCAGTCCCCAGGTCATACCCACCAGGCTCGAGAGGCCCAGTACAGTGAGGACCGCCTTCCAGGTCTGCCCCTGCTCCTTGCCTGCTGTAACGCTGGGCATTGTGAAGATCTTCCAGGCTACGAGAGCCAGCGTCACAGTGCCAAAGAGGAAGGTGATGAGAAAGTAGCCATGGACAGTGGCATAAAGGGCAGGCTCTTTCTGGAACCAGCACCTAAAGAAGGTGGGAAATCACTGGGCTGGAGAGGGAACCCCTGACCAGCAAGTCCCAGGAGGCCTCTCCTAGCTGATCCTCAACAACCAAGAAGACATCCCCTCATTGCTACCCATCCACCCCTGCCTTCTTCCTAGGCAAAGGCTGTCCATAGGTCCAGCCTGGTGTCTTGGCCAGTGCTGTCCAAGAGCTAAGTCAACCCAAGACATGCTTCATTTGCTCTGCATTATGTTGCAAAAAGCCAGCCACTTCTAAAGTCAGAAAGCTTATCATAAACATTCAGATTCCCTTCTGGAACCATCCCCCAAGCAGCTGCCCTCCTGGGAGAGAGGGATTAGTGGGTCCCTTACATAAAAAGTGACCCCTAATCCCCCTAATCTTTCTATGGCCACCACACACCCTTAGGGGACCTTCACCTCTCTAGACCTTTAGGCCCTAGAGCAGGTGAAAGGCTCAGCCAGCTCCTCTAGTGAGAGACATAGCCCAGTGGTGGGTACATTTGGAGGGTCTGACTTGCTCCCCCATACCACAAGGCAGGAGACCTGAAAGAATTATGCCCCATATGGAAGTGTCTGGGTGAGGGGGGCAGGTAGGGGTTCAAATTCAGCATACCTTCCAGAGCTCTGGCTAGACATGGGGAAGTTGCCTATGATACTTTGCCCATAGGTGCTTCCCCCATACCACAAGGCAGGAGACCTGAAAGAACTATGCCCCATATGGGAGTGCCTGGGTGAGGGGGGCAGGTAGGGGTTCAAATTCAGCATACCTTCCGGAGCTCTGGCTAGACATGGGGAAGTTGCCTATGATACTTTGCCCATAGGTGCTGCTGGGGCTAGAGGTGACCTCAGGGAGAGCAGGGCTCCCTGCTTCCTGGTTGTTCTCCCTCCCTCTGCCCAGGCTTCCTCTCTCTTTTCACTCCCTATCTCCACACTTCAGCTTATCCCCTGTACCACCAGCCAGCTGGATCAGCCTTGACACTGCTGCTGTCTTCCTAGGATATCCTTCTCTCCCCACCTCCCTCCTGTGAAGCCTGGCAGACCCCTTGTTCCCATGGTCCCACTCACAGCTCCAGTGAGGTGCGGTTCTCCTGGTCACGGATGGTGTAAACGCCGTAGCTGTTGCTACTCCCGGCACCAACAACCATAAGAGCAGGCAGGCCTGCGTGCGAGGGGAGGAAGTGGGCATTGCCAGCATTCCCTTGGTGGCTTTGCCTCCAACCTCTCGAGTCGTCCATTCCTCAAGTTGGACTTCCCTCTAGGTGCCCCCCTTCAGCCCTTCATTCCTTCCCACCACCCCTCCAGTCAGTGCCTACCCCAGCCCAATAAGCTCAGCTTTAGGAAGTAGTGCCCAAAGTAGGTGTTGAAGACCCTGATAGCCAGCAGGTAGAGGTGGAAGGCTTCCAGACCCATCCAAGTGAAGACACAGAGGAGGAAGTAGTGGAAGACAGCAGCCCGGGCCCAGCAGGAAGCCAGGGAGCCCTGAGAGCCACTCCCCACGTTGATCAAGAAGGTAAGATTTAGGAGGAACAGGCTGCTGCTCAGAGCCATGTGGATCTTGGGTACATCTTCCGACTTGAACCTCTGCAGGGAGAACCTGGACAAGAAGGGCCACAGCTTTTGTGGGGTGGCCACGCTAGTCCATCTCTCTACCTCGGTTCTACCCCACAGCCAGTGGCAATCATCCCCATGACCAGCTTCTGTCTGATGGTCCAGCTTTCACCCCTGCCAGTGGTCAGAGTACAAGCACTCAGGTTCAAGTTCATAAGCCCTCTCATGGCCCTCAGGGCCTTGTGGGCTCTGGGTTCTGCCAGTCTCACCTTTCACAGTCAAACTGTGTAACTTGTGACACTGAGAGAGTCTTGTTTCATGTCTCCTGGCCTTGACCATGCCCTTCTGGCTCTCTCAGTGCCCCTTTGCATTCCTTTACTCCACCCCTTTTTATTTACATATTTTAATTTTACGTGTATGAGTGTTTTATCTGCATTTTGTGTGTGTGTGTGTGTGTGTGTGTTTTTGAAGCAGGGTCTCCCTGTAGCCCCAGCTGTCTTGGAACTCACTATATAGACCAGGCTGGCCTTCAACTCACAGAGATCGGCCTGCCTCTGCCTCCCAAGTGCTGGGACTCCAGGTGTGTGCCACTACACTCACCTTTGCATTTTTAAGTGTGCTTGTGTTGTGCAATGCCTGAAGAGGTCAGAAGAGGGTGTCAGACCCCCTGGAACTGGAGTTACAGATGATTATGAGCCGCCATAGCTGGGAACTGAATCCAGGTCCTCCCCAAGAACAGCCAGTGCTCTTAACCACTGAGCCATTTCTCCAACCCCTCTACCGTGTGCCACTACACTCACCTTTGCATTTTTAAGTGTGCTTGTGTTGTGCAATGCCTGAAGAGGTCAGAAGAGGGTGTCAGACCCCCTGGAACTGGAGTTACAGATGATTATGAGCCGCCATAGCTGGGAACTGAATCCAGGTCCTCCCCAAGAACAGCCAGTGCTCTTAACCACTGAGCCATTTCTCCAACCCCTCTACCCACTTCTTGGCCTTCCTGATTTTTACTCAGTGTTCAACTGCCCCCCAACCCCCACGCCCACTGCGTGTTTCCTTCAGGCAGACCCTGTCTGAATACCCATGCGCCAGGCTGATTTGGGTGTTTTCCAGCAGCACAGTGGAACTCTCTACCCTCCACTAGCCATGGGAGGGCCTCCCATGCCAGGCTTCAGGGCACAGTGGGTATGTGGGCTCTAGAAGCATCAGTTAGGTGAGTGGGCCTGCACACGGTGGATGGATGAGATCCAGGATGTAGCAGGGGGAGGCCCTCAGAGAGGGTCAGGGATTCTCCTAAAGTCCCAGAGCCTGAGTCCCAGTCTCCCTACCCAGTGTTACTTGCTTCTCTCTGGGGCCTCCACTCTGAATTCCTAGCAAATGAGATCTAGAAGGGTTCTTGCCTCAGGGAGAGAGCACAGGGTTGTCTGAAGTAGAGATCAGAGGCAAGGTCCACCTCACCTGAGATGCCACACCGTACCTTTGGGAGGTGGTGACTATTTCTTCTGCACTCCAGTTCCAGCTCAAGGACCAGCAGCCCAGCCAGCTGGAAAGTCACACTTAGCTCATTGGGAATATTGAGAATGAGGATGGGAGCAGGGGTAGGGACTGGGTCCCAGGCCAGAACTCAGAGGGGTGGGAGAGAGGAGTGATGGAGTGGGTGGGGCCCACAAGAGCTGCAATCCAGGGCTATTTGGTGACCAAGGCATTGGGCAACGGGGAGCCCTGGACAGGGAGGACAGGCGGCCCAAAGGTTACTGCAGGAGGGTTCCTGTTAGCTTGAGCTCCAGGGTCAGGGATAGGACAAGTTGGAGTAGAGGCTGCTCCCACGGGCTCTTTCAGATCAGCAGGTCTGAAGGTTTCTTGGCCAGGGCCTGGTCCGGCAGAGCCAGATGCCAGTGCTGTCTGCCCCTTGTACCTGTCCTGCACCCATTCCTCTCCTGAAATCAGCCTAGGTGTCCCTAAAGGGCACCCTTTCCCATTCTCACCCATAAAGAAGGGGAGGTGGTAACTAGTCCCTTATTCAAATCCAAGGCCTGACCAGCCTGTCCATTCCACCCTGTGACCACAGTGACCTGTTCAGGTGTGGGCCTATGATCTGAGTCAGACCCTAAAACAACTGGTATTTGTGAGATAAACATACGTTCATAAAGAGCAGCCAGCGACCTGGGGGCACGACCTTTAGAGTCTTGTACACACAGGGCCTCACACCTGGCTAGTGCTCTGCTGCTCAGTGTGACTAGGAACACTTTTTGAACAAGGGACTGTGTAAATTCATCTTAGGGTGTTACAAATCACATCCACTGCCTGCATGTACACACACACAAACACATGCACACCCATCACACATGCATGTACACACAGGCACAAATCACTCCTGAAGCAGTGAAACTGAAGGAGGTCTCAAGTCCACTTAGGGCTGGTCTACCACTGCCAACTTTCTGCTTTGATGCAGTGCTACAGTTACAAAAGATGTCACCAGGGGAAGTTGCGGGGAGGGGACCACAGACTGTCTGTGCTGCTTTTGCAATTTTCAGTTAGTTTATAATTATTTCAAAATAATTGTTTTGAAGACCTGGGTTCTGGACCGCCATTTCTGCTTGAACATCTAAGGAGCTGGAACATGACTTTGTAGCCCTAAAGTTTCCAGGGGTAAACGAAGGTTCCTTCTTGATGAAGGAGGGCAAAGCTGTGAGATATGGAGACCAAGTCTTGGTAGCTTGGCTTGAGCCGCTGGTTCTAGCCCTACCTTAAGACTGTACAATGTGGGTTTTCCAGTTCCACAAATCACTCATGCCTTTTCTTGGCCAATCTGAGTTGAGTTTATGCCACTTCCACTGAAATAGCCTGACACACTTTAACCCCTAGTCTATCCTTGCCAGTGAGCAGACTGAGGAGCAGAAAAGACACAGAACAAATGTGCTTTCCACTTACCTGAGGGCAGGAGGAAATAGAAGTGGGGCCACTCACCTCAGAGCAACATAAAGAACCATGGTGAAGGCTAGGAAGATCATGGAGACTCCACAGCCTGCCTGGGAGATGTAAATGAGGGCCTGTGCCGTGGCCCGGTCCAAGATCGGTCTCTGTGGATGACCCCGAGCATGGATCACATCACTGGGAGGCCAGACCCCCCCCCAAACCCTGACCAACCAGGCAGCCTCTCCTAGGGGCAGAAGCTAGATCACTGGGATCAAGGTGGCATGGACTGTTACCAGCAGCAGGGCGAAGAAAGTCAGGTGGTCACAGAGGCAGACAGTCTCTAAACCTCCAATCTCCTTGGTGGAGCAGCCCTGGGAAGCCCAGCGTCCTGTGGGTCATGGGGTGGTGAGGGTGTGGGAGAAAAGAAGGAAGAAGGTAGGGGAGGACTGGCCCCTACCCCACCCTTACCCCTACAGGAGCCTGTAGCTTCCCCTTATTGCACCCCAGAAAGAATCTTTCAGACCTACCTTTAGCCACATCCCAGAATACACAGGTGAGGAACATGTTCTGAAACCAGAGTGGCAGTCAAGAGAGGAAGTAGGACAGGGGGTAAGCAGGGCAAGGGAGAGGGGAGAAGGAAGTGTGCTCCCCAGGGTCTAGCTACATGTGTGTTAGGAGGAAAGTCCTTTGTGGGCTGCATGGGGAAGTTGTTGTTGTCCCCTGGACCATTGTGTGTGTGTGTGTGTGTGTGTGTGTGTGTGTGTGTGTGTGTGCACAAATATGCCACAGGAAGGTTTGCATGTCTAATTATGCCTATCTTCAAGAACATTACATGGCAGGTGTGCAAAGTGTGGGCACAGATGGGTTCTCTAGATCCTTGAGCCTCTGTGAACTTGGGAGTGGGAGTGTAGGAGTGTGCGTGCACACATGCACAGGACAGGCGAGTGTCTCTAGACATGGCCCTGATGGCTTTTCCTGGGTGTATGTAGAAGGGTAAGGGGCACGAGGTCCCATGCACATCTGCTCAGAGCCCATACACTCTATGCCCCACAGTGACTGCCAGTTCTGGGCAGGGGACTCACAGGTGGTTGATGCTGATGGAAGAAGGTGATCTCCACAGGCTCTGACAGTCCAGTGACATTCATCCGGCCAGCACGCAAGCCCACCATGCGGTTGTTCAACACAGTGCTGTCATCGTCCTGGTAGAGCTGGGGGCCCTGGCAGGGGGAGATTGCAGGAGGCCAGGCTATAGTTTGTGCTGACCCCACCTACCCTGGCTGGGAGTCCTGGAAGTGCTAGGGCTTGACCTTGCCTGGTGTCAAAGTGTGAGACCAGGGAATCAGAGACCCAGGGCCTGGAGGTGCCCTTCTTCTTGCCACTCCCTGTAGCCTGCTTAGGGAGGTCTCTAGACTCTAGACCACTTTGCTGACAAGCTGACCCCTGACAGCTGTCCACTGCTGTCCTCCACAGCCCCTCTACCCTCTGAACTGGAGGAGCTCAGGGCTAAGACCAGCCAGGTAGTGGGGGTCACTGGGTGCCTCTAGGTGGGTGAATGCATCCATACCCAGAGGTACAGGTATCTAGGTCCATGTAAATGGATACACATCTCAGGAACACACACCTGGCATGCATTGGCAAGGGTGAGAACATTTGCCCATATGGACATGCTTGCATCTGAGCACATGCGATTGTGTATGCTCAGGAATAGAAAAGGGCATGTGTGTTTATACATGCACAAGGACGCACAAGCAAACACCCTTGGACTCCATACACAGCTGAAAGGCACTGGTGTTAAGGTACCAGAGTGAGTACCAGGCTGTATTAGAGACAGTATTGGGGGCAGGCAGGAGTCAGAGACCCTAGCCAGGTGACCAATGAAGCCTGCATCTTCTTACCTTGAAGATATTCCCTGCACCAATGTCCAGAACAGTTATGGCCAGCCGGACTACAGACTCGCTGCCGGGCAGGGCTCCAAACAGGCTCTTGGGAAGTCGGACTCTGTCGCTGGACTTGTCCTCAAACATCATCACCTGCCTCGGTACCTGCAACCGCAGACCCAGCACATCTTACCCTGAGGATTCCAACCACAGCTCAGGTGCCACCACTGCCCCCATTGGGAGGGAAACTGAAGCACACTGGGGAGGGTGGGAAAGGCAGCACCCAAGACTGTCAGTCAAGACACTGGGCTTGGCTAGGCTCTGCTCATCACTGCTGGGTCCTTAGACAGGTGTCCTCAGTGAGCAGACCCAGCACATCTTACCCTGAGGATTCCAAACCACAGCTCAGGTGCCACCACTGCCCCCATTGGGAGGGAAACTGCAGCACACTGGGGAGGGTGGGAAAGGCAGCACCCAAGACTGTCAGTCAGGACACTGGGTTTGGCTAGGCTCTGCTCATCACTGCTGGGTCCTTAGACAGGTGTCCTCAGTGGAGTCCCAATTTCCCCACCACAGGGACCAACTAAGCACATCTGTGTGCATCCACATTTGGCTTATAAGTGTGGAAGGAAAACAGTGATGAAGGACTCATGAGTTCAAGTTGAATGAGAAGTCCTTCCCACCCAACAGCAAAGTACTTTACTAAGAGTAGTCAAAACATTAGAACAAACCTCGGCAAAAATCACCAAGCGTGCTTTGTCTAGTCTGACTTCCTGGGTCTCCTGGGGCTACAGCCTACACCTACCAGCTACTTTTCTTGGAAAGATCCATGGGAACAGGAGCGAAGAGTTAAGGCTGAGGTCCTAGTTTCTCCCTCTCAGTCCAGACCTTGTCAAAAGGATAAGTGGGTGATAGCTGGGGCCAGTGTACACCCCATGCAGAGGGCTCAGCATAATAAAAGGCTAAGAAAGTTGGGGGATGTGAGCTTCTGCCCTCAGCTTTATCCTGCAGGGAGGCCGGAGCCTTGCTGAGCCCTCGCTGGACCAGGAATTCCTGTATTAACTCACATGCTCCTCCCAATTTTTAAAATTTTTATAAATTTGTTTATTTATTTTATGTGTATGCATTTTATGCCTGCATGTATGTAAGTGTACCTGTGTCATACAGAGCCCAAGAGGCCAGAAGAGGGCATCAGATTCCCTGGAACTGGAGTCATGGATGGTTGTTAGCAACCATGTGGGTTCTGGGATTCGAACCCAGGTTCACTGCAAGAGGAGCCAATGCTCTTAACTGCTGAGCTATCTCCCCAACCCTCCTCCCAATATTCTTACAGTTTGTTTTGTTTGGGTCTACCTGTGTAGTCCCTGCTGGCCTGGAACCTGGGATCAATCTTCTGTCGCTGCCTTCTGAATGTTGGGAGAACAGGTGTATGCCACCCTGCCTGACTTCTGATACTCTTGAAAGTGGGGAATATTCTTGCCATTTGTAGATAAGGAAACTGATGCTCAGAAAAGAAACATGTACACAATGACACTAGCTGGTAAAGGCAGAGACCCAGTTTGAATCCGGCCAGTGTAAAAGCCAAGGCCTCCCATTCAACCCCTCTGAGGCCAAGCACGCCCTTCCCTGACTGCGAATGTGTGCCCCAGCAGAGAGGTTAATGGGCACGTCAGGCTTGGAGAAGCCTGAGCGCTCCTCTTTCAGATAAGAACTTTTAGCTCAGAGAGGAAGGGGACTTCCTGAGGACACACAGGGCAGTGGTGGGAGGGTCAACTCAGAGATCTCCCAGCACCCTGCTAATCCACGAGCAAAGCCCGCTCATTCAGTTAACTCACTGCTCAGTTAATGAGTGATAGAGTTCTGCCCAATGGGACTTGAAAAGGTTTAGCTTTGATGGGCACCAGCAGTGGCCTGAGCCAGCCAATGGGCTTGGGGGAGTGCTTTACCTGGGAGGGTGCCAGAGAGAACAGCAGATCTTCTGAGATGTTGGTGCTGATGTTCTGGACCAAAGCCTTCACTAAAGGCATGTCCACTGTCTCCAAAGAATTATCCACCAGGTAGAACTCGAAGTTAAGCCAGTATCTGCAAGGAACCAGGGATCAGGAAGGGAGGTGCTTGCCGGCCGAGCCACTACTCCAGGCTCTTGTGGTAATAGCTGACCCCAAATACAGAGACCCTGGGGTCACAGCATGAAAAAAAAAAAAGGTAGCTTGGGAACAAACAGGCTGGTCCTGGAGGATTCTAGCTGGGGCAGGTCCCTCTGGGTATTTTATGTTTGTCTTTTTAAGAATAAAATACATACCGCATAGAATCCACCACATTAACCATTTTGGCACGCAATATTTACTGACATTGGGTACATTGGAAGTGTTGAGCAGCCATCACCACTGAAGGAAACCCCGTGCTCACTAAGCAGTCACCCCCTCCCCTTCTCCAGCCCTGGAAACCGTTAATCTGCTTTGTGCTTCTGCAAGTTTGCTTATGCTTCCTTTCTTCTAGACAGGATTTCATGTATCCCAGGTGGGCCTTCAACTCATTATGTAGCTAAGGATGACCTTGAACTCCTGACCTCTGGTCTCCTCCACCTCTGGAATGCTGAGATTGCAGATGTGTGTTGCTACACCCAGTTTATGGGGGGCTAGGGATTGAATCCTGGGTATTGTGTATGCTAGGCAAGCACTCTGTCAACGGAGCCCCAGCCTCAGCCCACACTTTCCCCATTCTGAATTTCAAATACATGGAATCACACTATATGACCCTCTGTGTCCGGTTTCTTCCACTTAGCACATTGCTCCCCACTCTCTGATTTCAGTCTTTTTGTATGAAATACATCCCTCCACTGATGGGCAAATTGCTCTTTGCATCTGTCCCCTGATGAACATTTGGGACTTTCCCTCCTTGCAGCTGCTGTGAACAGTACTGCTATGCCAATTTACATATGAGTTTTTCAATTCTTTTTTTTTAAAAATTTTTCTTTTATTTATTTTATGTGTATGAGTGTATTGCCCACATGTGTATAAGTGCACCCGGGCTGTGCAATGCCCTCAGAGGTCAGGAGAAGGTGTTGGATTCCCCTGGAACTGGAGTTACAAATGGTTGTTAGCCACCATGTGGGTGTTAGGAATCAAACCCAGGTCCTCTGCTAGAGCAGCCAGTGCTCTTAACTGCTGAGCCATCTCCATAGTCCTTAAATTCTTTTGACATATACATAGGAGTAGAATTGCTAGTTCATATAGACATGTGCTAGATCATATGATCTGTGATTTTCTTCTTTCTTTCTCTCATATTTTGTTTGTTTGTTTGTTTGTTTGTTTGTTTTTTGGTTCAGGGTCTTTCTGTAGCTCCATCTGGCCTTGAGCTCAGTATATAGACCAGGCTGGACTTGATCTCACAGAGATCTTCTTGCCTCTACCTCTAGAGTGCTGGGATTAAAGGCATGCACCACCATGCCTGGCTTGTGTTTAGTAACTTGAGCAACTTCCAAATGGTTTTCCATGGCAGTTGGGACATTCCACATTTACACCTACAGTGTATAAGAATTCCAATTGTGGGGCTGGATAGATGGCTCAGCAGTTAAGAGAACTAGCTACTCTTGCAGAGGACCCAGGTTCAGTTCCCAGGACCCACATGACAGCTAACAACTGCCTGTAACTCCAGTTCTAGGGGACTCCAATGCCCTCTTCTGACCTCCATGGGTTGAGTGCACTAAAACACACAGGCAATACACTCATACAAATCATCATCATCATCATCATCATCATTATCATCATCGTCAAGGCATCATGATGGCACACGCCTTTAATCCCAGCACTCAAGAGGCAGAGGTAGGTGGATCTCTGTGAGTTCAAGGCCAGCCTGGTGTACATAGTGAGTTCCAGGCCACCGGGGGCTACAGGGAGACCCTGTTCCAAACAGATTAATAATAATAATAATAATAATAAAGAATTCCAATTGTTCCACAGTATTAGCAGCATATGTGGTTTTTTGACAGTTTTTTTTAGCACTGTTTTTACTTGTAGCCGTCCTTTGGGAATGAAGAGGCATCTCATGGTGGCTTTGGTTTGCATTTCCTTAATGACTAATGATGTTGAATACCTTCTCAGGTGCTTTTGGTTTTGTAGATCTTATTTGAAGAAATCTCTCTGAGATTTGGGAGTCTTTCAGATAGACCCACTGAAGGGGTACTCCAGTTGCTTCACCCTGCGTCCCTGTTCAGCATGGAAGACGCCAGAGCGGTCTGTGTCCCTATTCCCTATTGGCGATTTGGGTAACCCCTTCAGAGGATGGTGTGATAAGAATAGGAGGTAGGAATTGGCTAGGCAGTTAGGGTAAAAAGACCCTAAAGAAAAGCAGCCAGTTTCTTGGCTAAAACTCAAAATGTCCTCGAGACGGTTAGCAACATACTCTGTACCAAAGGCCAAAAATGTCAGAAGTATTTGGGAGCTTGTATCCAATCCTCAAAAGATTTTAGGGTTACCTCTTCAGAGGGGGGAATGCTAGAGTAGTCAAAATCCCCATAAAAATAAATAAGTGAAAGAAGAAAAAACAAAAGAAAAGAAAAAAGTGATGGGGAGATATGGGAGGTGTTGGCGGGGAGGGAGTGGGCATGGATTTGATCAAAACACCTTATATGCATGTATCAAATTCTCAATAAAGATTTTGTAAAAGTTAAAAAAAAAAAAGATAAACTAGGGGGAAAAAAGAAATACCTCTGAGCACATCGGCACATTTATTGAGTGCTAACTGCATACTAGAAGTTCAGCTTTGGAAAACCAAGCCACAGGCCAAAGAGATGGTTTATCAGGTAAAGATGCTTGCTGTGAAAGTCTGACGATCTAAGTTTGACCCCCAGAACCCATGTAAAGGTAGAAGGGGAGACCCAACTGCACAGTTATCCTCAGACCTCCACAAGTGCATCGTGGCACATGTGTGCCTGCCCTCCCTTCCATCACACACACAGCAACAAACAACTATGAATAACTATTGAGTTACTGTCACTCATTTCACAGCTGAAGAGACCTGCCATCTCTCTCCGTGGTACTGAAACACTGATCTTTCATGTGCTTGAGTTCCTTTTCCCAACTGGGAGTCCTAACTGGTACTTCCCTAATACTGAGATTGCACTCACATGCTGCCTGCTTCAGGCTTTTAATTCTTCTTCTTCTTCTTCTTCTTCTTCTTCTTCTTCTTCTTCTTCTTCTTCTTCTTCTTCTTCTTCTTCTTCTTCTTCTTCTTTTAAACAAGATCTCCTTGTAGTCCAGCTGACCTGGAACCCACTATGTAGACCAGGCTTGCCTCGATCTCACAGAGATCCACCTGCCTCTGCCTCCAGAGTGCTAGGATTAAAGGTATGTACCACCATGCCTGGCTTTCTTTTTACAAAAGATTTATTGTGTGTGTGTGTGTGTGTGTGTGTGGGGGGGGGCTGCATGCCACGGTATGCATGTGGAGATAAGAGGACATCTTTCAAGAGTTGGTTCTCTCCTTCCACCGTGTGTTTTCTGGGGATTGAACTCATGTGGTCAGGCTTGCATGGCAAGAGCCTTTACTACTGCGCCATCTACCAGCCCCCTCCCACCAGTTTTTTTTAATGTGGTGCTAGGGATCTGAACTCAGGTCCTCATGTTTGTACAGCAAGCACTATACTGCCTGAGTCGCCTCCCCGGCCCACTATTCACAGCTTGCTCTTCATGTTTAGAAACCAGTTCTGAATAGGTGAGGTAGTGATGGGGGTGAAGGGGGGTGGGGCAAAGAGAGATACAGCCAGAATGAGGCTATGGAAAGCAGTCACTAAGGAGACAAATGGGACTCATGTGTGTGTGTGTGTGTGTGTGTGTGTGTGAGCACCAGTTGGAGTATGTGTACCTGTGGAGACCAGAAGGGGTTGGAAATTCTCTGGAGTTGAAATTATAGGAGGTCATGAGCCACCCCATGTGGGTTCTGGGAACCAAACTCAGGTCCTCTGGAAGAGCAGCAACGATTCTTAACTGCTGATCCATCTCTCCATCCTAGCTTTTATTTACCTTTAAATAGCTAAAGAGAGAAGAGTTGATTTTTATTGCTATCAAATAAAATAGGGAATTGTGATTGTTGCCAAATAAAACCATGGATGGTTAAAAAGACCCCAAAGAAATGTAGCCAGTTTCTGGGCTAAAAGTCAAAATGTCCTTGGGCCCGTTAGCAACATACTCTGTTCCAAAGGCCAAAAATGTCAAAAGTATTTGGGAGCTTATATCTAATCCTTAAAAGATTTTAGGGTTACCTCTTCAGAGGGGGGAATGTTGGAGGGGAGGGAGCAGGCATGGCTTTGATCAAAACACCTTATTATATACATGTATGAAATTCTCAATAAAGCTTTTATAAAAGTTAAAACAGTGGATAGGGAACTAAATATATATTTGTATATATTTATATCCTTGTACACTTAATAAAAACAAATCCTTGGTTTCACAAAGCAGCACAATTCATTGTCTCCAGAAAAGATTGCCCAGTGTGGTTTTGGATGTTCAGGTGCAGTGAATTCTCATGATTTTATGTTGCTTTGGTGCCCTCCCTCTCTTTCTTCTGTGAGACAGGGCCCCACTACATAGCCCAGGCTGACCCCAAGCTCACAGTCCTCCTTCCTCTGAGAGTTGGGGCTGGGATTACAAATGTGCATCGCCATGGCCAGAGGCTAGGATGTGATTTGGATGTTCCCATCAGAAGCAAGGCCATCCTGGTACCTTCTGAGCCTCCCACTCCTCCTCCTGTCCTCCCCTGAGGCCAATCCAGGCAGCCATCCCATGCTACCCACTCCTGGTGAGCACACCTAGAGGATGACCAGAAACAAGATGCTTGACCAACCCCACCGACCTCCACAGCCTATATGGACCATGCAGATAATGCTATGGTGACCTTGGCCACAGTGGGACCTCCTGGAATGGGGAGAGAGAGAGAGAGAGAGAGAGAGAGAGAGAGAGAGAGAGAGATTAAATAGCCATTCCACTGAAGAAATTCTCCTAATGGTCAATGAACACATATAAAGATACTGAGACTTTTGCGTTGCTCAACTCTCACCAGAGAGACTTCTTGCAGCAGATGGT